CTCCTAAGCTAGTAGATAATGCTGCCTAGAGGTGTCCTGCGTAAATCGTAGGTCTCTATCTTGTTTCTATTAGAAGTTATTTTGAAAATATCACGGGTCACCGTTAATTTAATACATTAGGAAATTGCGCCTCTATTATCTCAGCCGGTAGACCTTCGGTAGTTTGGAAATTTTTACCTGGTACTCAGAAAATTATGGGAAATAGTCTGGTCGACTCAGATTTTTGATAAAGTTACTTACATTTTTTCCCACAAATTGTACAACTAAAATACGATTCACTCATATATACAAACAATGGATCCGGGTTTGCCGAACAGTTGATGATTCGTGAGGAGCCTGATCTTTGTTCATGCGCATGCTCATGATACCTTCATAAAGCAAGTAGTCAGTCGATTAGTAGAAATTATATAATTATGATATGCAAATGACGGAAAAATGTGGACAATGTTAAAATTTTCTATTTTTGAATTTGTAAAATGTATTTTGGTGGTTTTTTCCGCACCAAAGCTTGTGTTAAATTTCGGGTTACGCGATATCCTTGCTGTGCGTTAATCATAGCGAGAGGTGTGTCGTGAAACATATCTGTCCATAACCGTCTAAAGTGGGACGATAAACTTTCAGCTCGGATGAATAGGGAAAATTGATTAACAAGTCTTTGTCCCAATTAATTGGCTTACATTGTTTTATAGTTAGATCTTGTTCTTTTCAAGCTATATTTCTTCGCATCCGAATCGTCTGGTAATTATCTAGTAGATGCTTTCAAAAGAGAGTTTTAAATCGTGAAGAAGTCGAGAAAACTGAGTATTTATGAAGTTTGAGGGATAGCTGTTAAGTAGAAGACGTTGTCGTATGTCCGAGAATTCGTGTCTGCAGTCTTGATATCCGATGTAATTCGAATGGCGCATATGGGATATTCCTCTTTATGTGTCTGGGATGAGAGCTGTCAAATGGTAATATATAGGATTGTACTGCCGACTTTCTACATTCAGTCGTCTTCGCATGTGGTATACGTACATGGATAGAGACATCAAGATAATTAACTCGCTTCCCAATTTCGTACGTGAGCTTAATATTTTCATCTTTTTGATTTAACTGGTGGAGCTGATGTTCGATAAGGCGAACAGGTTTATTTGTCGTGAAGAAGATATCGTCCCTGAATCTCACGTATAATTGTCCGTCCTGCCGCTGTTGTCTTCGAAATTCTCTCTCCCACTCGTACATGTATACGTCTGCTAGGACTGGGTGACCGCACTTCTCATGACTCCTTTTGTCTGTTGAAAAAACTTTTTGTCATATGTAAAAAAAGAGTTTTGTAGTACATGACAAGTGAGGATAGCAAATGTGTCGATAGAGATATTTTGAATTTTAAAATTCGTGGTTTCAGCGAGTAATCAGCAGAGGGCTGATACCGCTTGTTTTTGAAGAATCTTTGTGTATAAATCTGTTATATCGAAAGTGGATAAAAGAGTGTCATAAATTTCGTTTTTTCCACTTGAATCTATCCACTTTAATCATTTAATCTATTATCACAAACGGAAATTTCGAAAGGTTGTTCAATCAGAAACGATTGCAGATTCGAATTTTCTAACAGAACAAAATGAAAAACCTTGCGGAAAATTGTTCCAAGAATATCATGACCCAAAAACTGTTGCGGGCAAAGTAATCGACTTTGGAGACATGAAATCTGAAATCGGTTCTGATCAAACAAACTTTTGAAACTTTTTGTTCAGGTTAATACGCCTGTATATCAGAGCTGTTGTGTAAGGTTAATCTCAACATATAGATATCGAAAACTGGATATGTTTGTAATTGATAGAATATTTTAAGCTGAAGAAAATAGTGCATATGTTGGAATATCTAATAATGATCAAAGTGTTTTATTTATAAGTTTTTCAAATCATATACTGCCGTTTCTATTGTTGAGCAGAGTCTAATGTTCGTCTAACTAATCCAGCGTTTGTTTAAAATTATTCTCTGTAAGAAGATATAACTAATTTACTTCTATTGCTGTAGAATACAAAAAGCAATATTTTAAATATGTGCATAGATACAAAATTCAGAAAGAAAAACTCTTCTTAGCTCTATCGACATATTATATTATCGTTCTATGTATATACTAATGTAATTGTCCTTCTTTCTATTCTTTAAACGATAGAGAAAAACAGAAGCCGAGTTAATCGAATTTTTTTGTTCTACCTGTTGTTTTTATTGAATCCTTCTTCTTTCTTAATTAATTATTATTAATCTGAAATGGTACTCAAAGGTTTGAAACAGCAAAATACTCATACTAACGATGAGTTTTTAGCACTGCGCTTGATCGATGAAGATGAACAACAGTTACCACAAACAAATCAACGGCTATTAAAAAATGGTGGTACTGGTAGTATTTCACCAATATTACCTAATTTTCTCCAAAAAATAGATGATAAACGAATTGAAATCGTTGATAAACAAGAGCAACGGGAGAAAACATATGTTTTTGACAAGGTGTATTCAGCTAAAGATGATTCTTTTCATGTTACTGAAGATTTTGGAAAATATATGAAACAATCATTTGCAGAAGTAGGTATTAATGAAGATTTTATCGTCTGATCACTAAGAACTCGTTCTAGAGACTTCGACATTTCGTTCATCTTTCAATTCTATTGACTAAATTCAAGCGTGTAGTAACATAATTCTATGTTTGAAAGCGATTGTCAACAGAAGATTTTCACTAAAAAAAAAGTTTGCAAAAATTCTTTCTCTATTAAAAGTTAAGTTTGAGGCTGAATGAGCGAAAATATGAATTCAAATTTAAATAAGAATAAATTTTTCAAATATACCATGTGAGAGAGCATTTCTCTAAGAGAATTTTCTCTTTTTAGTAGTGAGTTATCTCAGAGCTCTCTATCATTTATTGCTGCAATCAACGATCATAGAGAGTTCAGAGATGACTCGTTTCTGAAGAGGAGATTCTGTGTAAGAATCATTTCTGTTTACAATTTTAGCTTCGATTTCACGAAGAATATTTTTCAGTTTCTCCAATGACAACATAAAAATATTCGAAAAGGACACGAAGTTCTGCTCTAACTTAATAAAAAGAACACAATTTTATTCAATTTTCTATGCTCTTTCATACGACGTATTTGGAAAAAAACGATTCTCATTCGAAGAATTCAGTTTTCACTCATTCGGTCTCACACTTAAATTTGGATAGATAAGATAAAACCTTTTCAGTTTCAGTAATAGACAATCGTGTGATGAGGTAGGACTAAAGGAAGTATTGAAACTGTTGTAAGTATTTTTTTTATTATTAACTAAAAACTCTATCATAGATAATGTAGTTTGCACAACAAAAATAGTTGTAAAAGCTTCGACTATCATCCACAGTCATCGGTGGGCATAATATAAAAGATGTAAGGAGAAGCAGAAATTTTTGTCAGGTACATTTTTCTTTGATGATAACTGGTTTAGACTAATCTAGCCAACGAAATCTAAAATACAGTTAGATAATTTCTGAATATCCTTTACTTTTAAATATTTTATGACCGTTGGTTTTTAGATTCTCTGATAATTCTATAATTTATACTAGAATATTCCAGTATTCGACAAAAATTATTTCTGACTAAGAGATCCCTTTAAATTTCAACAATTTGACACAGATGCAGTAGAGAAATAAGTTATAATACAAGCCGCTATATTCTTTCGTTCTAGCACATATGAGACGGTTGTAAGTCAATTATCCCTTTTTTAGGATATATTTGATTGTATTAAGATTACAGAAGTTCATGAATAAACTGTTCATAAGACGTGTCTCTTTTCTGAAGTTTCATAATCTTTAGTATTAATTGCTTATTCGTTGTATTTTAGGGTTATAATCATGTTGTAGTTGGTCTTCTCGGTTCATCAAAAGCGTTTAAAACCGGTACAATATACAGTAGTACAGCCAACACATCATCACACTCTCAACAAACCGCTCTAAGCATTTTAATAACAGACGCCTACAAAGATATAATATCAAAGTGGAAATCATCATATAATCTCAAACAAAATGCGATTATATGTTGTATTCAAGCTTATGAGTATCGTGAGCCCCATAATTATCATCACATATCAGCTATTGATCGATGCATGCAAGATGTACAACATCAACAATATATCAATGAGAGTTCACATACCCGAGCAAAAGATAAAATTGGTAAATATTTTTTAGCAAATCAAAATTCTATTAAAGTGCAACATTATATAGTTTCTATCTAAAAGAGAGCTACTTTTTTCACATTTATAGGTCCATTACCTCCAAAATGTTTTTATATCTCTTCAACTCAAATGTTTGAAAATATTTTACAATGTGTCAGTCGTATTATGCTTCAAACTGGTCGATCAGCAGACGCTGTTACTACGATACTCTCGTTTAAATTCGATCGTAATCCTCATATGACACCATCCGTTGGTTGTTGTAACGGCAAAAATAAACTTCAAACATTCCAACCAGTTCGTTTAACATTCGTTGATACAAGAACATCACAAACAGATGATCTACAACAATTGGTACAATTGGTATGCTATAGATATCCTTCTCTCGACTAACATATGCACCTAATTATATTTACAGATTCAAAACTATCCAGACTTTGTTAAACAAATTACTCAACAATTTGATGTTGATAATGCAAATCATAGTTCGAATGTTAGTCAATTATCAACAACTCCAGCACAACAATATCCTCAACGAAGATCAACATATTCTGATTATGGATCAAATGTCAATGCTCAACACGAGGATTATGACCTATCATATTCATCTTATTACATACCGTTATCCATGAATCAAAATCAAAATGATAAAGTGGAAAAACATATACCACCGGGTTTGTAACACCAAAAACGTCTGTGTTTATGATTCATTTGATTGATTATCGATCATTTTATATTTAGGCACTTTATTGAAACAGACAAAATTAGTAACATTAGCATTTTATAAATTGAATTCAATGTCATCTAAAGATACATTAAAATATTTTGATAGTTTGGCAATGATCAACGGTCTTCCAATTGAACAGGAATATTCACAAAAACCAATCATACCAATGAATCAAACACCAATAGTGCTTGATAGACTACAACGATGTAAAGATATTATTACTCAATTAGATGAAAATTGCAGTGAACCACAATGTGGGCGATACTCTCTATTTCAAAGTAATACTGAAACAATGATGGTTGTTTGTGCTTGTCCACCAACCGATTGTGTTGATGTTTGTAAACATACGAAAATTTATAAAATGACTGAAATTGATCCAGAAAAAGAAGGTATAAAAGAATTCTTATCGTAGTGGTTTTCATTAATGTTTAATTTTAGGTTTCATAAACAAAGAATCATGTATACATAAATTATCACAAATTGAAGAACTGGTCTCCGTGCCTGAAGATGAACCTGTGCTAAGAACAATCAATACGGAGGATAATGACACCAATGATTTAGAGGACGAAGACACGGAAGAGCTAGGTGCCATACTTTTGTTAAGATGTCGATATTATCGACATTAGTAAAACGATTTGTGTATTTTTAGAAGATCTAAGCACAGAAAAACCAGTCGCTGCACCACTGCCATTATCTGATGATGACTGTGAACATAAAAAGTGTGGATGTGTTAACATAACAGCAGATCAAATTGTTTTTCAACTAAATCAACAGTTTAAATATGATGAAGCTATGAATGGTCTTGCTGATTGGTTAGCCAAACAAAAAGTTGTTCTACGAACAACACACGCCGATCTAGATAATCCATATATACGTAAAGTATACGATAATGTTAAAAATAATGAAAATTATATTGAAGTAATGAAGAAAAATGATATTAATAAACCATTAATCATTATGTCTGAAAATAATAAATCGGCTAGATCAACAAGAGATCGTCATTGCTGTTAGATGATTATAAAATTGTGCATACATTTTTCTTTTATTGATGATGATGAAATAAATAATAATAAATTGAATAAAAATAATGAAGCATTGGAAAGACTTTAATTAGCTACTAACTAACTTTTCAAAGCTTTGATCCAAACTGTTTTCGAGTTTAACTTTACTTTCGCGTTCTTACAAGATATATTTCAATAAGCCTTGCTTTTATGTTGCACATTATGAACACCATTTTTATTAATAATGATATGAGTGATATGATGGTGAATGAAAAAGCTTATTTTTGCTATAGTAGTTAGATGGTCTTGCGAGAAAGCATAGAATATAAGTACCATATGGAGAAACAACTACAGACAAAAAGAATCGAAAGTAAATTGATTTTACACTTCTCATATGAACTTGCGATTGATATTTCTGCGGAATAAAGACACCTTTAAGCCAGAAAGAGTGAAATGGACAACTTTCTTTGCCTAACCAAATCGATCAAAAAGTTTGAATTTTTATTGTCTTTTAGAGTGCCCATGGGGAAATTTTATCGATTTTTCACGCGTGAGGGACCGTGAAATGTCAGCTTGGACTTTCACGAAATTTTGTAGGTAAAGACAGCAAGTTTCACGACAGTTTGGTCGTGTTGTTGCAACATCACACGCGTGGCTACGCGTGAAAAATCTTCACACGTGTACACAAGTGAACAATCTTCACGCGTGATTACGTGTGAAAAAATCTTGACCATGCCGACCATCTATAGTCAACTGACTATACATGGTCACCATGGTCAAGGTATAATGCAGATTTCATCAATGCAACTTCATCTATAACTTTTTCCACGTGTGACCACTAGTTTCTAAAATATCACATTTTATATATATCACCGCAAAGTAAGAGTCAAACCAGGGTACTTTGAATTAGAAATCTACGATACTACTATTGAGCTAACGTGCCTGAGAAACTACTGAATAAATCTCATATTCATAGTTGTCGAATCAATCCTCACGAGTTACCACGTGTAAAAAAGTTTCCACGCGTGATTACTCATGAACTTCTTAAATCTTTTTTCTTAGTTTCCAACTTTTCCAAACTATTTTAGTTAATACTTCCTCCCGGGGAACAAGATGATTCCCAGGCATATTCGTACAGCAAATACCTTCGGTCTACAGCAAAGATTTTCATCTGTATGTATGTACAACTTTCGGAAGATATAGGAGAAATTTGTATTTATGCTTGCCGCTCAATCTTCACGACATTCGTACTTGTAAAAGGTTTCTCACGTGGACGCACGTGCAACGTAAGAATTTCGTCGCTTGGGGTTAAGTATGAATATTATTCACGAAATGAGTTGCGTGAAAAACTGACGTGCGAATAAATGTGAAGATATTTTTCACAATGAAATTAGTGGGAAACATTTTTACGCGTGTTCGCAAGTGATATTTTTTTAAGGAAATTTTAACATGAGAAATTCACGTGTGGCCACTACACACTTCACGACTTTCACCTGTGATCACGTGCAAAAAATATGACGCGAAACGTTTTCGTGACCAGTTCACCTGTTATCACAACTGGAATATATTTTCTACGCGTGTTCACACACCATTTTATGATGTTCACGTGCGACCACAATTCATTTGACGATATTCACGCGTGTACACACCGCGGTACCTACTAAAATTTCCCCATGGATGAACTTTAGTTTTAACTTGATAAAACGAGCGTATTTTATGCAGTTTTTCTTGCTCATCAGATTCATCGTTCAGTGAGAAAATGTTTTCTGTTTTCTAATCGTGCTCATCTACACAAAACTGCATAAGTGGTTAAGTTGTTTTCTCATCGAGATATGAATTTATTATGCAAAGCATTACGAAAAATCTCAAAAAAATGACTTTTTTGTACTTCGTTTCTTTTTTCTCTGCTCTTTGATTTAAAATTCTGAAGTATATATGAGTCTGATGAGCAAGAAAAACTGCATAAAATGCGCTCGTTTTATCAAGTTAAAACTAAAGTTCACTCTGAAAGACAATAAAAAGTCAAACTTTATGTTCAATTTTGTAAGACAAATAAAGTTGTCCATTTCACTCATTCTGACCTAACACAACGACTGTATGACATACGCACTTACCATTTTAAGCAAATAAACTACAATAAATTTACAACATTTTACCGAAACTCTCAATCATGCACGTGTTTTTTTTCCGCAGAAATATCAATCATAAGTTTATGTGAAAGGTATAAGATCAATTTTGTTACTCACTGCAATTCTATCAAGAAGTATTTTATCCTAATGAACATGTATGATACACATAAAATTGCTACATGTCGTAAGTAACTCGAAAATGCTGCAAACACATATAGTGAAAATGTGATAATAACATCAACATATCATGCAGATTGAATGTCACAATTGTCTCCTTGAAAGCTCGATTTACAATAACATCGGTATCCATATTCACCACCAGAAACAGTCGGATTCACTAAAACACATGAACCTCCATTCTTACATCGATCATTACAGCCACATTTTTCACATTCATGTTTGTCAGATGTTTTTCTATAAAAGAAAGAAAAATCGTTCTTGTTCTATGAAGAATATAGATGCACTTACATGCTTTCAATGAGTTGATCTTCTAATATTTGATCAAGTTCAAACGCATTCGATAGTATATCATCGGTAAAAGCAAATGACGTCATATCTAATTGTATAATGAGAAAAAAAGTCAGATGTGTATCAACGATATTTCTCTAGTAAATCCATACACACCATTGTTTCGCGTATTAATTGACACAGGATTCAATTGTGTTAGTTGAAATAAAGTATTAAAAATAAAAATAATATTGAAAATGGTTAACATATTTATTATATCGATATCGGAATAGTTGTACAAGCAAGCAAAATATAGAATATATTTTTTGTTCATAGACACGTTATTTGTCACATATAGCACATCAAAATTCAATTAGTCCAATCTACTATTATCAAAGTATAGTTCTAGCATTGTAATAAACCGTATTTTCTTTTAGAATATTTGAAAGCACATTTACTTGAATGAAAAAAACACCAAAATACCAAATTAGGTATTAGCGCTTACGATAGATGTGAAAAATGTTGAAAGAATTTTTAATTTTTATTATTATGAATAGGATTATTATTTTTTCTGTTTCGATCCATTCCATTCGATAGAGAATTTCACAGGCTACAAAATGGTTTATAGTACAGTTAGAAGAAAAAGTAACTAGGTAGTCTAAGAGTCGAAATACTCTCCAGCGTGTCAGCAAACCGGTGTGTCAACCTTGTTCATGTTTATACTATCCATTTATTTTCCCGTTAACCACTCCACTTCACATACCATTCGATAGAGAACTTCGCGGGCTACAAAAATGCTATATAGACTATTGAGAAGAACATGTAACTGAGTAGAATACCCTTGAACATCATTTCCTACATAAAAATGATTATAGTTTCTTCTGCAGACAGAAATTAGGCACAGTTTGTATATAGAAAGATGTAAAATTGAAAGGGTTATAGAATGAGGTATAACGTATTCTTTAGAATTATAAGTTTGTTAGAATTATGGGTAAAAGAACGAAAGACATATTTTTCGTGTTTTCCGAGCAATTGGGCTGACATGGGGCTTTTTTTAAATTGCATGCTGTTTGATGAAACAGTGCTGCAGAGAGCTCAGAGCCGTCTTGATTTGTTCAGGAATCGTTTCTGTACACGATGAGGCTATTTAAAAAAAAGTAATATTCGAATTCGGAGTTGGTTTTCTAGGGTTACGGTTCTCCAGAGACCTGAGGCCTGGGAATTTCAGTGAAATCTTTATTTGCCACAAACCAAACTGGAAACTCCTTGCCCTATTTAAAACTTTCCTCACATTTGTTGTAGCTAGTATCTTCGAGGAGAAAAACCGAAAATAAACCTGGTTCAATAATTATACCGCGCGAAAACAGGGAATAAGTGTTTTTTTTTAATGCTTCACGAAAGAAATAGGAGAGAATCGTTAATTAGTTGATCAAAACAGTCAGTTTTAATCACAAGAGAAAGCATAACGGAAAAAAACAACTAAATTCGAGACGTTGTCCTGCACAAATCTGGTAATATTTAGTTTCTAGAAACTGAATTTCTATTCAAATATAAATTTAAAATAGCATCTATGAACAACGATGAATGGACAAAATAAAAAATAAAAATTTATTAAATACACATTATTTTTAGAAACATTTTCGATGAACAATCGATGGTCCACTTTCATCATATTCTTGTTTTGATATCCACATTTGTTGAAATGTTGATAGTGATGCCAAAATACTTCCACCAATCCATACAGAATATTTTCGTTCGGGTGGTGCGATGATTTTTATTTTCATTGCTGATGGTGCCAAAGATGTAATTTCTTTTTGCATTCGATCGGCGATGCCTGGATACATTGTTGTACCTAAACGAACAGAATAACGTGATATCATTCTCTCTGGGAAAAGACAAAATACATACCGCCAGATAAAACTGTGTTGGCATATAAATCTTTTCGAATATCTATATCACATTTCATTATTGAGTTGTATGTTGTTTCATGAATTCCTAAAAATGAAGAGAGAAAAATGAAAGCTTATCTAAAATTGAGTAAATGACAAAATCTCAGTAACTTACCAGCTGTTTCCATGCCTAAGAAATTTGGTTGAAAAACAGCTTCTGGACAACGAAATCGTTCATTTCCGATTGTAATTACTTGTCCATCGGGTAATTCATAGGACTTTTCTAACGAAGATGACGATGCCGCCGTACCCATTTCTTGTTCAAAATCTAATGCAACATAGCACAATTTTTCTTTGATATCACGTACAATTTCACGCTCAGCTGTTGTTACAAACGAATAGCCACGTTCAGTTAAGATTTTCATCAAATAATCGGTCAAATCACGACCCGCCAAATCCAAACGAAGAATGGCATGTGGTAATGCATAACCCTACGACAAAAAAGAAAGAAAGAAGAGTGCTGTGATTTTGTTTATTAAAAAATTCACGTACTTCATAAATTGGAACTGTATGTGTCACACCGTCACCACTATCCATTACAATACCAGTTGTTCGACCACTTGCGTACAAAGATAAAACAGCTTGAATTGCAACGTACATGGCTAAAAATACGACAAAAACAATTAGCTTTATCCCTCAATCTATTACTCTTTTCTCTATATTGACATACCTGGTGTATTGAATGTTTCGAACATAATTTGTGTCATTTTTTCACGATTTGCTTTCGGATTCAATGGGGCTTCTGTTAATAGAACGGGGTGTTCTTCGGGTGCCACACGTAATTCATTATAAAAAGTATGATGCCAAATTTTTTCCATATCATCCCAATTAGTAACAATTCCGTGTTCAATTGGATATTTCAACGTTAGAATACCACGTTTCGACTGTGCTTCATCACCAACATATGAGTCTTTTTGACCCATTCCAACCATTACACCCTGATGACGTGGGCGTCCAACAATTGATGGAAAAACTGCGCGCGGTGCATCATCACCGGCAAAACCAGCTTTACACATTCCTAAACATAAAAATATTATGAGAATGACCAAAGTAATAGTCCTAGATAAAATGACAGTGTTTCTATAAGCGTTAAATTAGAGTAGAATAAATAATTCGTAAGAAAATAAATTTTTGGGCTAATTTTTTAGTCTCAACAGCAATCTCTTTTATACGAACCTGAACCATTGTCAATTACTAATGCAGCAACATCGTCTTCAGCCATTCTTAAAATTGCAGTTTAATTTAGAACGTAAGTTATGAGAAGGTGTTGATTGTGTTCTTATGTTCGTACGTTCTATTGTGTCTGTATCTATTTATAGGGCAAAAAAAGATGTATTTCTTTTTTTTCTTTCTTTTTTTTCTCTTTCTTTGTTTAAAATTTTTTATTTATTTTACCATATATAGACATGAATTTATCAGAGGCAACGAGCGAATCACTGAAATTATCATACCATTTCCAAACAATATTTATATGAATCATACACCTGATTAGGAAAAAAATGGATACCTGCGTGTATTAGTAAGTCAACATTGCTATAATACGACATGAAAAATGTTTATCGAAATATTTGTCGAGTACACAGATAGTTGTTCTAGAAGCTTCTTCTTTGCTAGAAAACGTCTGAATGAATCTAATTTGAAGTCCGAAAGAAACCTATCAGTATGTGGTATTACAGAGGCGGCAGAATGATGTGAAACATAGAAACGTCGTCTACACAGAAAATTTCAACCAAGATATTTTTTCATCAAAAATTTATTTAAGTATGTTTGTGAGCCTTTTTAACATTCAATCCACTTACAGTGAGAGAGCAACTGTAATTATTCGTTTCTCCACCTACTACCATAGTTCCTTTTATATCACTGTTCTGATACTTTGAAATAGCGTATTCTGCTATAGAAATAAAACTGAAAAGAGACTTGTGTCGATCTATATCTCTGATTAATTCGTTTGCGGAAATATTATCCATTTTTTGACTAATTCATTGTTAAAATTGATAGCTTACTATAAACATGGAATTCTATCGATGATCAGGAAAACTATAGATCGTATGAAGATTGATTATCTTTACAAAAAAACTATTTTTACTTATGGAAATGTTTAATTGTCGTTATACATCTCTTCTCATCAAGTCATGATCAAAAGGGTACAGCCGTTTTGCTTTTGAGTTACAATTATTCTGTTTCCGACGTTTTTTCTATGAATGATACTTTATTTAAATAATATTATTATATAAATGAGTTTAACGTTAGATAAAAAAAAAGAACAAAGTACAAAATCTGAAACATAATTAAAGAATAAACAGTCATTATCTCTATGTAATAGTAGATTTGAAATAATTACTTAAAGTGACAGCGTCGGGCTTAATAATCATCAACATCACGTGAATTCGGTCTTTCAAAAGAAGGATAACATAATTATAATGATTACAACTTGTGACTGAAAATTATACAAAGCGTAAAAAATTATGCTAGATCAATATAGATCCAAGTACTTCAATGAGCCTTTGAGACCATCGATAATGTGATTTTACACGCTACTAATCTTGTAAAATGAAATTCGGAAGCCTTTTAGAAAATTCTACCAAACACTAGCGAAGTATGCGAGGTGAGAATAATATTGTCAATTTTTGTCAAAAATATCCTCCAATGTCAGGTGTTATTCTCGATAACGACAAGTAGCTAAAATTTCGCACGTATATTGAATAACACAAATTGTTAAATTCACATGTATGACAGAAATTCAAAACGTATATGTAGAGGGGAAAACGAATTGTGAAATTGTGAAAAGGTCGCTCATTATAGTGGACAGAAGCAAATAATAGCGGATTAGAATAACTTCTCCAGAAATCCATCTTGAAGTTCGGGCGAGTTGTTGAGAAGTATTTTAAAAATGTATCGACTTTACCTGATAGAACTTCAACATACAAGATAGAATCTAGACATATTTGTTACTAGATTGTTCGAGACGTTGACGGAAATGTTGATTTGAAAGAAACCTCCAGAATCTTTGCTAACAGTTCAATCTGCTGCACATCAATAATTTATTTATTTAGATCTCCAACGTCCATACAACATCACTACTATTAATCATCATAAGTATTAACAGCACTTATTTTTATTCTAAAGTTGAACAATCAAAAACTCATTCGGACAGGAAAGAATGCTGCAGCTGAACTCACTCTCATGATGCCGTTTCCCCTTCGATACAATCTTCATGAAAAAGATCAATATTTACATAGGTGGGCGACAGCATGATCAAGAAAATTTCTAAAAAGCTCGGTTGTCTTTCATAGAAAGTAATATCTTGACGTTCATGCTAAAATATCTAAATCCGATAGGTTTTGGGTAAACAACCAAAGTTAGCTTTCTAAAAAACATTGATTTTTCATAAAATCACAACTATATATCTGTTATACAATCGACTGGTTTTTTACCGATTGAATTACGCATTCAACACGCCGGTCTGATCCGGTTGGAAAAAACGCAACCGATTCCAACTCTGAGCTAGATTGATGATGTAAAATGTTGCATCAAATGACATGTTGAGCAAACGTTATCAGAACAAAAACTTCTGACTTTTGCCGAAAATTTTTTAGTCTTAAGCTGACGAGGGAACCTCTTGAGGTTATAAATCGCTTTTGAACTCAGTGAGTAGTGAAATACCGTAAGTTGATTTGTGCCCATGGTGCTTTGTCGCTGAGACACTGGATTTTTAGTCACTTTTTGCCTATAGAGCTTGAACTTCGAGCAAAATCCGACTTTCGAATTTTAATTCAAACTTGCCACACTTGCAGCCTATTGTCATAGTAGTACGACGGGAAAATATTCGATGCTAATGAATTTTCCTGCCTTGAGATACTGAGACTCGAATATTTGACCCTCACCCTTACCTTCTGGTGAAATGTTCGAGTTTCAGTATCGTAAGGCAGAAAAATTCATTAGCATCGAATATTTTCCCGTCGTACTACTATGACAATAGGCTGCAAGTGTGGCAAGTTTGAATAAAAATTCGAAAGTCGGATTTTGCTCGAAGTTCAAGCTCTGTAGGCAAAAAGTGACTAAAAATCCAGTGTCTCAGCGACAAAGCACTATGGGCACAAATCAACTTACGGTATTTCACTACTCACTGAGATCTACAAGATAAAAGTAGTCTGAGTTCAAAGGCGATTTATAACCTCAAGGGGTTCCCTCGTGAGTCTAATTCACTAGTTTAAGACCAATATTTAGTTTTTCTAATATGGTGAATGAACTTTTGTGACACGTGACAGTGCATGTTAGTAGAACTTTGGTGAATATATGAACTCTTAGCTACTTGTCGTTATCAAGAATAACATCTGACATTGGAGAATATTTTTGACAAAAATTGACAACCTTATCCTCACCTCCCTCATGTTTGATAGAATTTTATAAATGACTTTTTCATCATTTCATTTTACAAGAAAAGTAGTATGTAAAGTCATGTTATTGATGGATGAAGTTCTGTGGAATAATCCAACAAAAGAGTATACGTGTATTTGTCATTCGACATCTGACGCTTCATATTGCGGCATTTTCGTAGCAATAAATATATCACACTCTATAGGAAGGAATGATTTCTTCGGCTGAAAATACATTAAAACTAAGTTATCTTAACATTGATTTGAAATTAAACTATCCCCAAATGTTCAAATATCGATATCATCTAGTGTAGTTTGAATAGAATGTTGATGGTTCTCTTTGTTGTTAGAATTGATTTAGTATACACGTATTTATAACATTCATAAAGGACCGACAGATCTTTTGAAATCGTAAACGAATAGCATGAATGAACAAGGCTACCTGATCGACAATAGAGATCGAAAGCCATTATTACCATATAATGTCATTGATCAGAGTGGTAAAAAGTCAAATATAAATAAATATTTGAAAATAAATAAATACAATGTAACTGATAGTAAAGGGAGAAAGTAGCTTTTGTATGATAGTGTCTTGATTCTCTCTATTGTTCTTGTCGATTTCATTCAACAAATGCTTAAGACTTGACCATTATCAAAGGTTAAACTCAACAATATACTAAACAAAACAAAAAAGCATAAGCAATCTGTGAATCGTTCTACAGTTTCAGTAAGAGTCATAGACGACATTAAAAATTAAACTCTTCTCATAGTTTAATAAAGAGTTACCTGGACAAAGATTAAAAATTGAAATTCTTTATTTTTTTATGTTCAACAGAATAGATGTACTCAAAACGAGAAAAACAAGACCATTCAACTCTTTGTTGTTTTATTTTACATAAAAATAAATTAGGAACTATTAAAATATATCATTTAACTTTTAATTAAAAATTCAATCATTTTTCGACCATCTTTTACATCTCTGTTATTTATATTATCTCCGATATCTTCATCAAATTCTGTTGCAATTTTTGTCCAAGAATTATCAAATTCCAAGAGATAGGCTCCTAAAAATTTATGTGGACATTTATTAGATGATGTCAACCAATCGGATGGTCCCATAATTGACATATATTTTTGACCACTATCACGCTGATAATAATAATATATTTGTCCAGGTTTTCGTACTAAGTTACATGCACAATGATTTAATTCATCATCTCGTTTTGCTTTATCCATAATACGTTGTGCTTCATCTCGTAAAAAATTCATTTGATTAACAATTACTTGTAAACGATTTGAAACATTTGCTCGTATAAATTGATCACATGTTTCAATTTGACGAGCTAAATTAACTAAATCCATTGGATCGGAAACAACATCGTTACGTGTATTAACAATTTCATGACCAAATGGACGTTTTGAACTTTCCACTAATTGTACATGAGTCGTCGGTGATAATGAAGATGGGCTTTTATCAATATAAACAAGATCACGTTGTAACGATGAATCCATGGAGCAAAAATATATATCTAAAACAATTAAGTCAAAAGAAAAATATTTTTAAAAAAGATAGAAAAACCTGATATTATGGAAGAAGAGGGGGGCAATGCATGATTATTTCTGTTTAATGCTCATATTGTCAAACAGTCTATTTCCTTTAATTTTTACCTTATTGACATTTTTGTGTTGTGTCTCATGTTTGCATTATCATAAGATAAATATGTAATAGAACGTGTAGAAAGAAAAGAGAGGATCAACCGAAGATAGATGTTTCCATTCTACAGTTTACACAATGTTTAGACAAGTGATATTCATTAAAAATCGCCAAATATGTCATCTTATCACATAAGAAACATTCTCTAGAAGAAAAAGCATTAAATTCACTCTCTTTGAATTTGATGTTATTGTATAATGTTAGAACTATTATTTAAAAAGTGGTTAGGTACAATAGATATTTGCCAAAGCGAAGATCTTTGCTAAAGTCGACAGAAATCCGTCAACGTTTTCGGTATAGGATACAATGGATTATCCATATACATTTTGTACAACATGACACGAATCCGTTTTCTCCGAAAAGAGATAATAACAACAAAGGCGGTGCCAGGTAGATGAGAGTGCGTCACAAAAAACTATTATCTCTTTTGGGAATGAGTCCACGAATCTGTTGTTCGTCTAGTAGTATTGTATCGACGTTTGTTCGACAGAAATTATCTGTAAATAAGAAAGAGCATAAAATTATAAATGCACCAATTTTTTCAAACGTTAAGTTCACTTTGATTTCGAGGCACAATTTATGATCTAACTGTTATGACTTAGTCTCCATGATGACAGTTTTGTATGCTAATTGTTTCGATTATCTGTTGAAGTTTGAAATTTCACTGATTTTCAGGTATTTTTGCTCAATTGTTTTCCATATCGTTCTTTTAACAGCATTTATGCTAGTTTATTTTTTACTTCTAAATGAATATCAATGTGAATCGTTTTGGGAGACACAATAAAACTATCTCTAGGATATTTACTATTCATTTTCGTTCGGCATGAGAATGCTTTCAATAATTATTACTGGGATCATGAGCAAAGTCTGAAACTATCTGATACAAGTTCTTAAGATCTTAAGAACAAAATGTAATTTATATTATATTGTGCAAAATGAAAATATGCGTTCTTCCAGTGGTGATTTCGGAGCTTTCGAAACAAAATATGATCATGAAGTCCGCGTACTTATCGTCAAAGGAGTAGTTAAAAATAGTCAGACACTTCCGAACAGAAATGCAGACTATATTTGTATTTCTTACACAAAGTATTATATAGTAACAAATATAATATCGTATGCTAAATTTGAACGATCACATGACTCACTACTCCATATACTGTCAAACAGCGCTATAACTGACACCTGATATTAATATAACAATATCCAAGGCCGCTAGATATCCTATACAGATTATATGCTCTGTTATGGCAGTTATTTTTAGATTTTTACATTTCAAATAAAGATCAGTGTTTCATCATATGACAATTATCTGTATTGTCGACGAAAAACGGCGAAATAGACTCATTTTTTCGGCCTAAGCAAAGTATAATATAATCAATAAACTACTGAGACTGATGTTATACCGCGGTTAAAATAATTTTCTTCTTCTGTTATATTTTATGTTTAGTGTTCGAGTATTAACTTAAACGAAAGATAAACCTTGTAGGCAAAAATAAAATAACAAATTGACCAATCATCACAATGAAAAGATTATATCGAACGACTAATATTTCAAGTCGATCACGCGTGACATCTATTCCACTATGTTTGATATTTGATCGATATTCTATAATTTTTCTTCTGAGCATCGCGACTATCAATGTATTTTCGTCTAATAGTGGCAGTTGTGAGAATCGAACACACTCGAACGGTCATCGAAAAAAGATCCAACTAGTCGGAATACCTGTCGATCGAAAGTTTTCCTTTGTTTGGGATATTTAAGTATTTTCAGTTGATGAATAATGGTCTTGGTGGAATGAATTGGTCTTGGTGGAATGAATTGGTCTTGGTGGAATGAATTGGTCTTGGTGGAATGAATTGGTCTTGGTGGAATGAATTGGTCTTGGTGGAAAATATCGAAAGGAAAAATGTCGAAAAGGAAAATGTCGATAAAAAAGAACAAAACGTTGAAGAGGAAAATGTAGAAGAGCAAAATGCCGAAAAGGCAAACGTCGAAAGTGGATAATGGAATGGAAGAAGGAAAATATCGAAAGTAAAACGCCGAAAAGAAGGAGATTTCTTCCTGTTCCTTGAAAATCACTGAATGAGATATACGTATTATTATCATTAGAACTACTATTGGTTCTCATCAGACGTCCTCAACCTCGTAGTAATTATAGCCACTCGTCGAAAAAGTAAAGTATGATGAAGTTCAGTATGGCTGCTACGATGAACGCCTCACCCTCACCCCACCGGGGACATCAGCCCCAAAGCAATCAGGAAATACAGCAGCTTTTCAACAACGATTTGACACACTCAATGGATGATTTCTCAATAGAGAATTTAATGCAAAACAGCTACTGGCTGGATTATCGTTCTTGATCAGGATAAACGAAAAGTTAGTTCACGATGTATTGGCCCTATCATTTCTCTTCTACTCTCTTTCTCTATGTAGTTTAATAAAATATCTCTTTCAGTGATTTTCAAAGGAACAGAAAGAAATTTCCTTCTTTTCGGCGTTTTTCTTTCGATATTTTCCGTCAATCCCAATAAATTAAACCTCCTCCTTCTAAAACTCAGTTTGTTTTAAAGTTTTTTTGTATTTGCTAAAAAATATTTCGTACTAAGCGGGTTGCTTGATGAGATCAAGAATCAGGTACAATCGTCGGTTATACAGAATTTGCTCATTTTTCTCCACTCTCAGTCAACTATAAACGAATCAAGTCTTTAACAGAGTTCATATAGTCTTGTGTGATTTATTAAAATATTTACAAGATCTTTTGAAAGTTTGCTCTAAAATCCTCTGTCCTGACCATTCTGCACGAGACAATCAGACGAACGTACATCATTTCTTATATGTAACATTATTAATTTTAAAAAGTTCTACACAAATATGAAATATATTGATTGATAGTTTAGACTAATTGATACGAGATAGTATTCTTGACATCGAGAAAGCTAAACGAAAATAAATCAACTTTAATATACTACGGTTATTTTAAGTTTTTAATATGGTATCACTAGATGATCGACACATTTCTACGATAATATTATTTCTAAAATTTAATAGTGGTTCACTTTTCGCGGATCGAATTAAAGCGAAATTTAATTTTGATATAGGAGTATTTTTCGCTGTTTTATGAATTAATACTGGTAAATTTATTTGTTCGACTTCACTAACATTTTGTGCCGATGAGCTGTCTGTATATAAAACAACTTGTGTTAGATTTTTTACTGTTCGAGTTATTTTTACTGGTGCAGTAACACAGAGTGTTGTTGATATTAAAATATCTTGTTCACGTTGATCGTTTTCTTTATTTCGATACCGTCCATTTAAATGTAATATTACTTTATGATAGCGTAAACGATGTTTAATTTCATTTCTTAATGTTGGACTTAAGATAACATATAATGATGGACTAAATGCTAAATAAACTAATAAATTATAGCGTACTATTAACATTAGTAATGATTTATCTTTAGCATAATCAATAAAATTATAAGAAACAAGTAGATAATATAATCGAAATGGAAAATAAGTTAATAATAACCAAATTGATAAACATAATAATGTTAATGTAATTTCATGTGTTAATGATAAATATTTCGTTTTTTTTTCTAATCGATATTTATTTATTTTTATATTAGACATTTTTTTTCTTCTTATACATATTTGTCGACATATATAAATATCAAATATTGAATTTAATAAAAATGGCAATATAAATGATATTGAATACAATAATATTTTTATTTTTATATCAAAATATTTTCTATCACGTACTATTGAACATATACCAAATGAAAAACTAATCCAACGAAATGATGATATTCTAATAACTAATAGTTCATCTATATGTAATAATAATGAAATAAGAATAATAATTATTAATATTGTACATGTTAATTTTAATGTAAATAATTTTTTTACTTTATATGGTTGTATAAATGTAAATGCACGTTCAGATGATAATAAAACCATAATCCATAATGAACATGTTGATGATGTTTGTTGTAAAAATGTATTCCATTTACATAAATGATTATGATTACCAATATGAAATAATAGATATGACCATGTTTGACTAAATATACAAATACAATGAACAATAATAAATGTATAAATATAACAACGAAATGTACTATGACGAAAAATGATTGATACAGAAAATATTAAAATTGCTAATGCATTAAATATAAAGCCAATAGTACCAATAATTATTGAAACTACAGAATTATCTATATCTATAGTATCCGTTTCTTTATTATTTGTTAAAAAATCTTTTAAAAAATCAATGTCTCGCTCCAATGTATCATTTATTTCCATTATTACATCTTAAATAGTAAAATAAAAATATTTATTTTAATTGTTGTATTTCATCCACTTGTAGTTTTGATATACGATGATTTCAAGATATCTAATAAAATGTAATTTTGTGATTCAAACAAATTTTTGAGATGCTTTAGATCGATATTTCAAATGAAACTTACTGAAAAGAATATTTTAATCTTGTTTAAAAAATAAATTTTAAATTTATTACAATTCTGAGTTGAAATTTTTAATTTTTAATACTAGAGTCACACGATGTAATTATGAACAGTATTTAAAATGCTGCTGTTCTGGACACAGCTCTGTCATTTTTTGACATTATGATGCAGGTAGGCAAACGCAACTTTAGTCTATCAACCAATATAAAATTCTCGCCAAAACTCGTTAGCGTTAATAATTAGCAATCAATTTCTGGCACAACTAGCAAATGAACAATAGAGAGAAATATTTAGAATAATTTAAAAACAGCTTGCTCCCTCTTCCCTTCGAGAAAATTAATTCTTACCACGATGTTTAATGAATAAATGAGAGGACTACACACTTAAGCAAGAAACCATATCGATTTAAGACAATATTTTTTCAAAGCACAATTGAATAGAGTAGACTCACTTATTAAAAAACTTTATTCTGTGTTTTCATTGAGATGACTAAAAACAACACGATACAATCTGCAGAATGAAACCGTTTTCATCGATTTTGCTAGAAAAAAATTATTCAGAATACTTTTGTTTCTTTCTTCTCTCTTTAATAATATATTTGGATGACTTCTTTTCTTTTAAAGTTAACTGTTCGCCTACGTTTTACATTACCTTTTTGGTATAGCTGATAGGAATAAATATAAAACCCTAATAGATGAGGTTGAAATAGTTTTACTTTCTGAACTACAGAATTAAATACGCATTTCGCGAAACATATGGTAGCTCAAGAAGACGATGAATGCCGATGAATATACAACCATTATATTTCTAAATCACGGATATTTTATAATCGCAGTATTACGAAAACTCCTAACTGAAAATGTCTTGAATCTAAATAAATCACTAACAGGCATACTATTTCTAAAGCTAATGCGGCGAAGATTCAAGAACTTTCATACTAAAAACAGAAATGTTCATTTCCATTTAATATTTTTTCGAGTCTGTTCTCTAACTTTTTTCTGTCGGGAAAAACTACTTTAGAAACATTTTTGTTTTGTCTAATAATACACATATAATTTCTTTAGATGTTTGAGCTTTTCAAGTTTAAAAAGTTTGCAAGATAAATTATATTATTTATTTAACGCCATCAAACATCATAAATCGCTGCCGAATCGACTCATTCAAACGATTCATTTTCGCAAGAATGCTCTTTTTAGTCGGAGAAAAACCGAATTAATATACCGAACTTTCGAAAGAAGTTTCTTGAAAAATGCATTCAATACATCATCGAGTTACACATGGTGGAAACAAAACCATAAGAAAAACCATGAAATCCATAACCATTGAGAGAAAACCCTGTAGGAGAACTATGAAATAGAAAACTATATCATGAAAATTGTGCAATCCAAAAGTATAAAAGAAAAACTGTGTTAGTAAAATTGTAAAGGTTAAAATTATAGAAACAAAACCCGTCCACTTTCGAACCATCAAAGTAAAACCGGGAAATAAAACCGTCACTTTGAGAACTGTGAGATTAAATTATGGAAAATATCGTAAAGCTCAAAACTGTAGAAATAAAATTGTGAACTGACAGTTTACCAAAGGAAAACAATGAAAGTGAAAGGGTGTAGAGAGAAACTGTGAAAGAGTTACTCACGCTTTTTAGTTGACGGTTTTATCGAAGCCTTAAAATTCACAAAAAATGTGCAGTTTCAGCCGTTAGTACGTCAGAAAGTCTTCCTAAATAACTAACGTATATTTGATAGAGCGAGGGTTGGAAGACTTCCGACGAATCTATTCCAAAAGGCACTCAGGAATAGTGAATATCTTCCACTAAAATCCTAGCCACAAGTTTCTAGACGTTCGTTGCAGGACACAGTCGATGGTATCATATGATATCTGCCTACATCTATACAGACAGCGTTTCTCTTTTATACCTAAAATACAGCTGCGGTGAAGAGGAGTTTTACAAATTCAACAGCGATAGCGTCTGTTGAACGTGTTGAATTTTTTTCTGAAATCTATCCGAAAACACGAAGAGTGTGCAGTCCAATGACTTACTTCTGTAAGTTCTTCAGTTTGCTGGTTTGTGCTTCGGTCTTATACTTCCTACTCACCAGACGTCCCAGATGCGATTCCTAGTCGAGCCGTTCTTTTTTTCTTCCTTTTCAGGGTAGACGGTTCTGCTTGCATAGTTTTACTTCGATGGTTTTTCTAACAGTTTTAAAACTGTTATATTAAAACCATACGAAACAAAAGCATGAAAAATCAAAATCTCGAAAAAAACCATGTCAAACTGACTGTGACAAATCGCTTATAAAAGCCGCCACAAGTTACACAGGCGTTTTTTTCACCATGCGTCTTACATACACATTAGGCTCTCGTGCTCTCTGTCATAATCCTTTCTGATGACACTGGTAGTTTAGAATAGAACTGATACTGATCGACATCCTATGCAAAAGAACTAATTGTCATTTGATCGATATGTACGAGCTACAATTTACATAAAGAGACGTCTGTCAAATCCACCAAATTGAATAGAGTGAAGTGGGGCGATTATGTAAAATTTTGTCGAGCTCCTCAGTATTTATCGAAGAACTTTTTTGATTTTGAAGATTTTTGTGCGCGATTTGTGCAGTCATGTAATTGAGACCCTTAGCTATCTACCTATGAAAAATCTTCAAAAAATACCTTCGCAATAACGATCTTCCAAAGAATTTACATAACCACCCGCGAGTTTTACAGATTCACCTCAGTTGGGGTGA